CAACTGATGGACTGGCAATTCTCTGTAATGGTAACATGAAGCTACATTACCTGTTTTGCTGGAATAGATAAAGTATAATTAATTTTTATAAAGAAAATGCTGGTCCATGCTGCTGTTGACCTAACCAAAGACTTAGTTTCTTGGCCACATGATGTCCACAGTTGGCCAGTCTAAACCCTGTTCCTTGCTTTTCCAGAGAGCTTATCAACCTACAATGGTTAATGATTAATCCCAAACAACGCACAGTAGAAGCCCTGCTAGCTGAATTTCCGTCACAAATCTAGAAGAGGTTGATTTGGAGCCATGCATCCAGAACTTCTGGTATACAGCACAGGAACAGTCTAATAATGTGCCAATTATTCCAAACTGTGTAGAGCTGTTCCATGCTTTTTGGCCATCCTTAGTTCAGTTGCATGGAAGCCATGACTTCTTGGTGAGCAAGTATCGTATCCCATACAGTTATGCTTTCTAGTTAAGCCATTCTATTAAGACCATATGTTCATGTTGACATGAAGAGTCTACTTTAACCGGAGTTCATCTTCTGCCACCAGATTCATCATGCTTCTAGTAGGGTTTCCAGATGGCAAACAGTTCTGTACTGTGCAGTCTTGTTCTATTCTAGATTGTTTTGGCAAAGCTACCAGAGAACTCATCTTCAGTTGGGTAGTTTAAGATCTTTTTGAGAAAATTGATTGTGGTTTAGCTTGCTGCAATCTTGGTTGTGCAAGGTGAGGAGGAACTGGCAATAAGAGCCTTGAACACAGCGGATCTGAGTATGAATGGACACGTGTCCCACAACCTGTTCAGATGCCTTCAGAAAGGATTTTGGCCACCTTTTACGGTTTGGGGTAGAAGACCTCTGTCTTTGACAGGATTTTCTGACCTGTGCTTCTCTATTTTGAAAGGTTTCTGGATTACCTCTCCGATCTCTGCGTGTCCATGAACAAATCCATTCCCGTCACACAGGAGTTGATATGCAAAGCCGTTCTGAACGCTGCCAACGCTGATATCCTCATCGAGACCAAGTAAGGAGAGATTCTGAAACAACTGCTATAGGGTTCTCCGAACTTAGATTTCTGTACTGGGAAATTGTAGCTTAACGGTAATTTTATTTATTTTAAGGCTTGTGCTGTCACGTTTTGAATTTGAGGGTGTAAATAGTAGCGAAAGCCCTCTGGAAAATGGGGAGGATGAGGAGGAAGTTTGGCTCTTCTGGAGGGATGCCAATAAGGAAACGAGAAGTAAAAGTATTCGAGAGTTGGCTCAAGATGCCAAAGAAGGGCAAAAGGAGGACCAGGATGTCTTAAGTTATTACAGGTATGGAGGAGGTGGGTTGGCAGGTGCCTGACGTCTGCTGCAGAATAGTGTGTTGACAATGACCACCTCTCCTCTCACCGCAGGTACCAGCTGAACCTCTTTGCCCGCATGTGCCTGGACCGGCAGTACCTGGCCATTAATGAAATTTCCGGCCAGCTAGATGTGGATCTTATTCTGCGCTGCATGTCTGATGAGAACCTTCCGTTCGACCTGCGAGCATCATTTTGCAGATTGATGCTGCATATGCACGTGGACCGGGATCCTCAGGAACAGGTGACCCCTGTGAAATACGCCCGCCTCTGGTCAGAGATACCATCGGAAATCGCTATAGATGAGTAAGTCAAAATGTCGGCGACATTATCTTCTTTCATTACCACTGATTAGACTCCCAGAACTTCTCCGGTGCTGGATGTTTTGCATTGGATTGCTTTTTTCTTGTGCATTTTATTTCATGTATTTTATTGATGAACTGTTTATGAATAGTGGATTCAGAGCTCCCTAAAAGGTTCTTTTCAATGAAGCCTATTATATTCCTTAAACACCTCTTAGTTCCTGCACTCAACCACTGTGTGCACTAGAACGTCTGCTCCATCATTTTATCCCTCCAACTCCCTACGTACCCTTTCATCCTGATCGGGGCCATCCCCGTAATGACGCAGCCTGAGGTGGCCACCTCAGATGGCATCTCATTAGGGGTGCAGCGGCTGTGGGGGAAGAGGGGGAGGGCGTCAATGGGCTGCCAAAGCGTCCCAGTTTGCTAAGAGCTCTTAGTAACCTGCGACACTTTGTCTGGCTTCCTGTCCATCTCGCAGACGTCATTGGTTGGCAGGTAGATGAGCCGGATGTTGTGGCTGGCGTCCTGCTGAGCTCCTGGCATCCAGTGACATCAGTGAACTGGGCGGGACCAGACAGAGCTGCTCACAGTATGGCTGTAATACAGCCGTCCGTCCTAGCAGCACCTGTTGCATTTCCACCCCCTGCCTTGCCAGCACTATCAGCAGCACATGTGCCCCTACCCTCAACCCCCCACCCTCCCCTGCACTATGAACAGCACACGCCACCCTTCCCCCAATGCGATGTACTACTGTCTAAGGTGGCATATAGGAAAGTGATGGTCCTGATTACCTAAGTGTATCTAAACTCTCCTGTGCTCTCTTCCACTGCTGAGCTCATATCAGTTACATTGTTCCCAGCGGTCATTGAGGATTACAGAACCACTCCCCCTCTGTTATGGATGAAAAGAAGATGTATAGCTTTTCTGGAGTCCAAGCACACTTCCTGTTCTACTGTAACTACTATGCTCTTCCATAGATGCAGTGCAGTGAACGTTGTCACATTAGGGCAGGAAGTGTGTTTTTGGCAGGATCACCAGGTGACACTAAAAGGAAAAAAGCCTGAATAAAAGACAACTAATGCATCCACCACATCTAAGGACCAGTAAGCTGCATTAAATAAAGTACATCATTGTTGGGTTTGGATACATTTTAAGTAGAGGTGCACCGAAATGGAAATTTTAAAACCGAAATAATAAAAATTGTCCGGCCGAAACCGATACCGAAAAATGTTTTAAAAAAAAATTATTTTAACATTTAAAAAATTTATCAGGAAAATGGCACTTTCGGCATTATGCCAAAAGTGCAATTTTCGGCCGATCTATCGGTGCATCACTAATTTTAAGTAATTTTTTGTGCCACATTTACAAGCTGCCTCACAATCAGTCACCATATTGATGAAATGTATTACAGTAAGGCGCACATTACAGTATTGTTTTATGTTAAAAAATCTGAGGGTTTAATATCACTTTAAGTGTTATAGATGGACTGGGACCTCATTGCATTTAAAACCTTAGGCTGGCTGTAGGCACGTGGCACAAAAAGAAACCCAACATGTCTGCTCTACAGCTTCTATAATACAACACATCGCTCCGTGATGTTAAAGTCGATTTTCAAGTAGATTCTCATTGATTTTGCTTGTGACAGTTCAGAGGGAAGTGGGGAATGTACAAGACTCGTGAAGTAGACTTTACATTGAATGTTGCACTCATTTGTCTTTTTGGTACTTTATCTGGTCTTCACCTAACAGCTACGACAGCAGCGGGACATCGAGGGATGATATAAAGGAGAGATTCGCACTGACGATGGAATTTGTGGAAGAATATTTGAGAGACGTGGTGGGGCAGAGATTTCCTTTCTCCGACAAAGAGAAGAACAAGCTGACTTTTGAGGTGAGGTTACTTTAACTACGAAGAAAGGTGGTGGGGACGGGGAAGGGGCTGGACTACGTCCTTGGCTGGTATCGCAATTCGGTACAGGGGCGCCTTTGTACAAAAATGCTATTCTCTATTCGGTCACGGTCCCAGGGGCGTCCCGAGGCTGGGTGACACCCGGAGCTGTAACAGAGTGTCACCCCGCCGAGACGTCACTGCGCATGCGCGGCAGTATTCTGATACCTGCCCGCGGCCATCTTGGTGATGGACGCCGGCAGAGAGAGGAGGTACCAGTCACCCGGCGGGATAAAGTATGCCGCCGGGTCCCCTCCTCTCTCCTGATACTGTCGGGTGTTCGGTCCATGACCGAGCACCCGACATTTCAGAGGGAGGTGACACAAATGACTGAGTCATTTTGGTGTCACCCCTCAAATGGTGTCACCCGGGTGCCGGCCGCACCCCCCTTGTGACGCCACTGCATGGTCCTAGTCTGGGTCATTGATGTGAGGTCTTGAGGTAAAGATGAGAGGGTGCTACAAGGTATCGGCAATCCATAAATCCTTTAATAAACAAAACATGTTCTTTTGGTAATGCCAATGTGTTTCAGGGATATAAAACTAAATTTTGAGATGGAGGGAACCTGGGCCCAAGAAGAGATTCCTGGGGATAATGGCAAGGAGATAATTAGACTGCCCCAGTCCCTCCATTTAGGGAAATGGATAGGTTGTAGTGGAACCCATGAGGGTTATCCTATTGGTCCAATATTGTTGCAGTGATTTGTTATGCAGGGTGTCTGGATTCCAGGCTAGTGGCTTCTACACAAGAGGATTCCCACAGTTTCCCAAAAATGGATCTGAGATTAAAACAGTATGCTATGAGTTAATAGTCCAGATACATAATCATTCCCGTATGAAATCAGGTGAATTTTGCATAGTCTTCCAACTGATTTTATCTTGGAATAACTCTTGGTGGGGCTCTTCAGTCTCGGATCCAGTTGCTTCACTCTCTCTGCAGTCGAAGCAGGCTTTACTTATCTCCATTCTCCCTGATCACGAAGGATTTTGTCTCGAGTCCAGGTTCCCTCCAGCTAGCAAGTCAAGCCGTGATGAAGGGCACAGTTTTTGGCCTCTGAAACGCATTGGCATATCCAGAACTACACCTACATTTAATAATTTTAGGGTTTCAGGCCTGATACCTAGATGAGCACTCTTCTCTTTACCTTGCCAAGTTCTATGCATCATCCTTGGTGCAAATGAATATAGTTATGTATTCTAGTTTTGCTCCTTATTATCTTGCCTTCCATACAGGGCTGCCATCAGGGGGGTACAGTGGATACTCATGTAAGGGTTAGAGGCAGAGCCAGCTGTAACCGCCCCCTCCGCCAGTCAGCGCTGGAGGATTGGAGTGGGGAGGGGGGGGAATCCAGCCCCTCCCCTGTCATGGCAGAGAGCCGTGACAGGATCGAGAGGTGAGGGAACGCCGGTATGTGTTCGCTCACCTCCCGATCTACTGAGCCGACCTGTGACAGTCTCATTGTCACAGGTCGGCTAGAACTAGGAGGTGAGTGAAAAGCACTTGCCTCATACTTCTCCTTTTAATATTTTGTGGATATCCGTTAGCGATGCTGAGTGATGATTGGTGGTGGTATTTGGGGGCACTGCTAGACCATCCTGGCTCCCCCCTTCCTCCCCTGAACCATCACTGGGACTTATTATCTTGTAGTGAAGGCAATGGCTGGGTTCTCCATCTTTGTGTACAGCAGAGAATTTGGTTAGGGCACGCAGTAACAGTATTTCAAATCCCTGCATTGCATATAGGGGACCTAGAGGAGGCATGTACCCCGCAAAAATGCATCTTAAGCCCCAGTGTGTCTCTTAATATGCCGCTTAGATTTTAAACTCTTGTGCATTCCAGCAGCAGGACAGACAAATGACGTGTTTTTTGTTTTTACAAAGTTTCAGTTTGCAATTTACATGATGTCACAAAGTGTAACAGCGAAATAAATCCTATATACAGACAATGTCGGTTGAATCTTCTTATTCTCCTTGTGGTTGCAGGTGGTGAACTTGGCTCGCAATCTCATCTACTTCGGCTTTTACAATTTCAGCGACCTTCTCCGCCTGACCAAGATCCTTCTGGCCATCCTCGACTGCGTGCACCTGGCTGCCAACTTCCCCTCCAACAAAATGGGCAAGGGTGATGAAAAGCAAGGTAGGTAGATGGGCAAGGGGGGCCAATAGGATCGAGACGCTCTCAATCCTTGTTCCCTGTGCTTCTGTGATTGGCTTGCTGCATTTCCCGTAAATCCACGCCCATAACATACTGAATTCAGATATAAATCTTGCATTGTAGGTATAAGAGGTTACTTGGGCATATTGGCCAACTTAAATGATAGATCATCATACAGTAGGGTTGGGTCTGTGATCCTAATCCCACCAAAAACATAATCTTTTCTGGTGGTAGGTGGCAGTAATGTTATGCGCTCCATCCATGGAGTTGGAGAACTTATGACCCAGGTCGTGCTACGCGGTGGGGGGTTCCTTCCACTGACCCCCTTGGCTGCCCCAGAAGGAGCATTGAAGCCTCAGAGAGAGCCGGAGAAAGAGGACATCCTGGTGATGGACACCAAGCTGAAGATCATTGAGATTTTGCAGGTATGTCGCTGGATATCAGTTAATTTTAGGTCTTCATAATCTGCACATGTTTTGTGCTGACTCTGAGCTTTGTGTACGCAGGGCCGGATTTCCCGCAAGGCCAACCAAGGCCCGGCCTCGGGGCAGCAGGGAGTAGAGGGGCAGCAGGGGTGCGGAATTCCTATCTCCCGATGCCCGTGCGGGTAGTTATTTTCTACATTTTGCCCTGCTTTGGGCAAGCAGAGCTAAATGTACAGCGGGGAAGCCGCCGCCTGTTTTGTAAAAGTGGTCTTGCCGATGTTGTATGCAGCCTGCAGGTCTGCCATTCTCCATGGGGGGGGTTGGCAGGTAGGGGGGCTCATTGGGGAACCTGGCCTTGGGGCAGCAGAGAGAGTAAATCCGGCAGTGTGTGTGTATATAATCTGTACCTGATTTTCACCTGTTTCAGCCTTTTGCAGTCATTGTACATCACAACTGTGGCTAGGAGAGGAAGATGCAGCACAAGGAGTCAATTAGTTCACATGCTGACAGGCGTAGAGAGCCTTCCACATTGTTACATCTTCCGTTTCTCTTTTTTCTAGTTTATTCTGAATGTCCGCCTGGATTATCGCATCTCCTGCCTCCTCTGCATCTTCAAGAACGAGTTCGATGAGAGCAACGCTCAATCCACGGATGGATCGGACGCGGTGACCGTGGTGCCGGGTGAGAGACACTGCAGCGGTGGCTGTTCGGGGCTGCTCCTAGTATAATAAAGCTCACCACACATGTTACAATCTGTGTGGGATCTACCAACAAAGTATGCAGCACAAGGATCTGCCTGCTTGTATACAGATTGATTTGGTAGTTTAGGTAGGTCCTCCTCGATCTTGTAGATCTATAGTCGTTTGGACAGTCAGATGGTGATGTGTGTGTGTGTGTTGAGCATCAAGCTAAAAGTTTTCATTTGTAGGAAATGATTAGAACCCACGTTAGGTGTTTTAAATATGCAGTAAGGGCACCACACTAATGATTAATGCAATAAGAGAGCTGACGTGTTTCACGGGTAGCATGGGTAACGCTGAGCTGGAAGATCGTAAGAAGAAATATTAGATTGCAATGTGGAATGACTTCTTCAGAGGTTGCATCCGAAATGCATTGACTTTCTTATTCCATTCATCATTTAATACCAAATCATTGTGAACTCTGTGACCATTGGTGTGGCACCCTTCCGGCTTCTTGCATTTTTGGATTTCTCCGGGAACCTAATTTTTCTGGGGGTGCTCTGGTACATGTAAGCAGCCCCCCCTGAAGTGAGTCCGCTTGATCAATGAAGTGATCGTTTACAGTACTGGATATAATTTTTTTTTAAAGGAGAACTATTGGGTCAGGGCTTTTCCCCATAGTTCTCCTAAGGGTAACGGGAGGACACAAACTAGCGTCCTCCCGTCACCATAAGCTCGGGTATACTGAGACGCCGCAGCTGGAGCGGATCCCGACAATTATGTCTGGATTCGCCCAGCTGCGTGAGTGACAGCTGGCTCTGCCTATCTAGAGGCAGAGCCAGGTGTACCCGCCCCTCCCCCGTCCGTTCCGCCAGTCAGCGCTGGAGGAGTGTGGAGGGTGGAATCCAGCCCCTCCCCTGTCAAGGCTCTCTGCAGTGACAGGATCGAGAAGTGAGCGAAGGCCGGTATGTGTTCGCTCACTTCCCGAACTACTGAGCCGACCTGTGACAGTCTCATTGTCACAGGTCGGCTAGAACTATGAGGTGAGTGAAAATAACTCACCTCATAGTTCTCCTATAAGTTAATCTTTTTCAGTTTTTTCAACGTTAATAAAACAACGCAGAAAAAATAGAAGGAAAAGAGGTATCGTCAGTACGAGATTCCACCAGGCAATATCATGGCCATGAGGCCCATCAACAGTATAGGTAGATAATACAAGTACGGACGAGGGATATATAAATCGACACGGCTATTGTGAATGAGGAGGAGATGAAGCAGAAGGGAGAAATAGATATGTGAGAAAGCGATTTAGGAAAGAAAGAGACAAAGGAGGAAAGACATAAGGGTAAGAAGGATAAACAAATTAGGAAGCGAAGATTTAAAGTTCTGCGAGACATTCAAAATCATCCTTCATGAAGAAAATAAAGGAAACTTCTTCAAATACCTAAAACACAAAAAAGTGGGTCAGCCAGGATGTCCACCAGACTTACGTGAATAGGGTGTACAGAAATCTCATCTACCTCCGGAATGTCATATACTGGATGTTATGTGTTACCAGACCTATTGGTATGCACCCCAGCTTTTTCTGTATTTTTTCCAAAGGCCATAGCGGCATGTTTTCCACACCTGCCTGTTAGTCTGCAAAGGGCGAATGAATGCAAAATCTAAAGGCAATTTCAGTCGGCTTCATCACTGGTCATGTTTCCATGGATATCATTACTATTTAAAAGGATTCTGTAGGTTAGTGATATGGAAGCTGACCTTTTAAGATACAAGTTTCATGGCTGTCATTACCATCCTTTACTATGTAATGCATCACTGACCCTATCATCCTTGTTCTTGCCTCTCTATCTGATGAGTTGCTAACCTGGATAATATAAGCAGGCCAGGAGTTTTGACTTGACTTCATACTTGTTCCATGTCAGTGACTCGCCAGGTGTTAAATCAAGGATGAATATGACGTCAGTCTATAGTGCCGGGTCTATTTTTGTATTTTGAAACACCCCAAAGTTCAGATTGGGTTTGTGAAGTCTCCCAAATGTTCAGGCCTTCAGATTGACTTGTGCCTTCTTTTCCTCACAGCGAAGAGAACACCCCGTTGGACCTGGACGATGATGGCGGTCGCACCTTCCTCCGCGTGTTGCTCCACCTCACCATGCATGACTACCCCCCTCTAGTGTCCGGAGCCCTGCAGCTGCTCTTCCGCCATTTCAGCCAGAGGCAGGAGGTCCTTCAGGCCTTCAAACAGGTTTGTGGAGGTCCAGTGACCTCATTGCTGTGGACGATGGTCTGCAAATGTCTTCTAACCAACATCATCTTCACGTAGGTCCAGCTGCTGGTGACCAGTCAGGATGTGGATAATTACAAGCAGATAAAGCAGGACTTGGACCAGCTGAGGTCTATCGTGGAGAAGTCGGAGCTGTGGGTCTACAAAGGATCTGGTCCAGAGGAAGCTTCAGAACAGACTACTGGGGCTGCAAACGCTAAAGAGGCAGGTTTTTCTTCAAGTCCTGTCAAACCCTAAAGTCTTATTCCAGACAAGTAGGGAAGAGCCTCAAATGATATTAGATTTGTGACCCAGTTGATGAGATTTCCCCCTTGTTTCTGTCCCTGAGGTGCCCATACTTGAATGAGGGCATAGTTGTCATAAGGGAAGGAAGATATGAACAGTAATAAAACATTGTCACAGGTTCTCACCCTTCCTTACTTGGTGTAAAACTCAGTATTCTGACCCAAAATAACCTACATGTGGATCCACACGTCCCCAAACCCCATGTTACTCCTTCTGTGCTCTGCCACTAGAGGGTCAGGTAGAAGAAACTACTTTGCTCACAGGCTGCACTGGCCCAGACATGTGAAGTCCAGTGTGGCAGTAAATGTGTGTACAGAGGTTGGTGGAACATACTATCACGCCTGGCAGTCTTAACCTCTGAATATTAGACCCAATGAACTCATGGTTGTCAATGAGTATAGAGATTTGTCCACTTGCATTGTGAGAAGCAGCAGAAAAATACAAGCATGTGTAGTACTGCAAAGAACAAAGAAGGAAGCGGAGCCTGCAGAGATAATGCGCAAAATGTCTACCCCCCATGTACATTGTACTTTTACAGGTTCATCTTAGGAGTATGCATTACCTTTTATCTGAATCTAAACTTGTTTCTGTCTTTGTAGGAAGGATCCGGGAAGCCCAAGAAAGCCGAGAGCACCAGCAGCTATAACTACAGAGTAGTCAGAGAGGTTGGTATGCCTCATACTGGGGGGGGATATATTTCCCTATGTACTGTCTTACCCCCCTTTCTTTTTCCCATGTAGATCCTCCTGAGGCTCAGCAAGCTCTGCGTTCAGGAGAACACGTCCGGCCGCAGAAACCGCAAGCAGCAACAGCGTCTTTTGCGGAACATGGGGGCGCACACGGTGGTGCTGGAGCTGCTGCAGATACCCTATGAGAAGGTGATGGTTTATGTCAATCTTTTACGTGTCAGTGGTCAATGGTTCATTGGAGAGTGTAGTACCTAACAACTATAAAGTCCAAATTATGCTTGTTTTGTCTAATCAACAGTCTCGGTTACGGTGACTGATCCGGGCCTTACCAATGTTGTAATGTTGGCTTGTACGATGTAAAACCTTAATAAAACCTTATTGTTAAAAAAGAGATTCAAAGGGACATCTCTTGCCGCTCTCACCTCTCCAGCGATGTCCCCCACAGACTTGCCACTCTGTGATCCTGCACTGCTCTTTTGTTGGGGTTGAGTGACACCCAGTGCCGGTAAACCTACTTTTTGTGGGTCTCGGAGTGTAAGGTACCCACCCCCTAGTGGTTACCTTGTGCAACATTTCTGGAAGATGGCGCTGATATCACTATGTTTGCAGCATTTGGGTCTGCCAGAGGAAGAGCCGAAAGAGGACCTATGACATCCTGAACACCTCAAAGGCCCCTTATAGGGTGCAATTGTATTCTAAAGCTGACCCCACACACACACACACAGCTACATGGAATCATCTTCCCTTTGCTTTACTGCTGCCAAGAGTGATCACAAGCTCCTTCTATCCTTCTACAAGTTGGTCCAGTGGAGCTTACACTGGTCCAAGACCTGCTGCCCCATGTGATAGTTGTGATGCCTGAGAAGCCAATTGTCCCGGACTGTCATGTGGGAGGAAGAGGAGAGTCAGATGTGCCTCCATATCGGAAAATATTGCATTCCTGTATTCCTCTTCAGTCACAATGATGAATGGGGGGGAGGGGGGGCAGCACAGGGAAAGGGTTTCTATGGGGAAGGAAGGCATTGAAATGAACAGATTGTTTTGTAGACTGTTGTCTGTGATATTAAACCATCTTTAATGCTCTTTGTTCTCTTTGGTTCTCTCCAGTCAGAGGACACTCGGATGCAGGAAATAATGAGAATCGCTCACGAGTTCCTGCAGAACTTCTGTGCCGGAAACCAGCAGAACCAGACTCTGCTCCACAAGCACATCAACCTCTTCCTGACCCCTGGGGTGAGTGCCGGGGTGCCCAAGGTAAAGAAATGATTGTTGAACAATTGGCCACATGGGTGACACCAGACCCAACCTTAATCTAGAAGCTGACTGAGGCCATCAAATGGTAAGGGGTGGATGTGGGGTAGGTGGGAGGTTGTGCACTGCTGCTGGTTGGTGGGGGTGGGGATGTGTACTGTCCCTGCATGTGGCCGATCCTGCCTAGCTCACTGATGTCACTGGTTCCCAGGAGCTGGACGGGACACCATCCAGAGGTCCCACTTAGCTTCCTGGCAAACTATGACATCAGTGAGCTGTGCGGGACTAAGGTGTATCTTTATCTGTATCCATAACCATGCCAATAGATTGCAAGGAAGAGAGCAAAGCTCTGTACTTATTGTATCCAAGCAATGATACAATGTAACAATTACCCCCTCTGACCAGCCATTTACTGTATATAGGAAGAGGAAAAGTTGTTTTATTTTTGACTTGCATACTCTCAGTTCATTCTGTGTTTACCTTTATAAAACTATTTTTAGGAAAGCCAAACAAATAAATACTTTAGGTTTGCGTCTGAGTTCTGTTCCCTCCCAGGAATACTGTGTTGTGTCTATTCAAGAGAATGGATATCAAAGTGGGTAGATCTGTTGGGCGCAGTGCCAGGCGGCGGGATTTACAGTTTGCATCCTCTGCCATGTCGTTGGATGATCCCGGTGTGTGTGTGTGTGTCTCTCTCGTAGATTCTGGAAACGGTCACCATGCAGCATATCTTCAAGGATAATTTCCAGCTATGCAGCGAAATAAACGAGCGCGTTGTCCAGCACTTCGCTCACTGCATCGAGACTCACGGTCGCAGCGTGCAATACATAAAGTTCTTACAGACCATCGTGAAGGCCGAGGGCCGATTCATCAAGAAGTGCCAGGACATTGTCATGGCGGAGGTAAGATCCATAGACTTCCAACATCGCCTCGCACTTTCCTCCCCAGCCTGGCTGTCCCTGGCCCCACCCCTTTGGGATGAATAAAGCCCATCTTGTATACAGAAATGCATTTTGCACACACGTTGCTCTCTGAATAAGCCCCTCCCATTTGTACCCCCCTCACACGTTTGATGTGCACTTCCTTGTTCCTCTTCCAGCTGGTGAACTCCGGAGAGGATGTCCTCGTCTTCTACAATGACCGGGCGTCCTTCCAGACTCTGGTACAGATGATGCGCTCGGAGAGGGAGCGGATGGATGAGAACAGCCCCCTGATGTATCATATCCACCTGGTGGAGCTGCTGGCCGTGTGCACGGAGGGTAAAAACGTCTACACCGAGATCAAGTGCAACTCGCTGCTGCCGCTGGACGATATTGTGCGCGTGGTGACACACGAGGACTGCATCCCCGAGGTGAGATATAAGTGTGCCAATATATTTCTATTGCAGGTGCAGTTGGCGTCCTCTCTCAACAGGTGCTGAGAGGAAATAAATTAGAGGAATAACCACCCATCAGAGCAAGATGATGGACTTCAGCTCATGGTAAAGCGCAATCACTGTGCTCCATTACCAGACAGCAGAACCTGCATATATAACAAGTCAATATGCACTATATTGCCAAAAGTATTGGGACACCCCACCAAATCATTGGATTCAGGTGTTCCAATCACCTCCATGGCCCCCGGTGTATAGGATGAGGCACCTCGGCATGCAGACGCTTCTACAGACATTGGTGAAAGAACGGGTTGCTCTCAGGAGCTCAGTGACTACAAGCGTGGTACCGTGATAGGTTTTGCTACGTTGACACAGAAGTGGAGATGAAGGAAATCTATACCAGTAACCACATGTGGAAGCTGTTTGAGAATTTTTTGGTGGACATCTGCAGGGTGAGATGGGGGGAGACTCTGTGAAGATAGATTGGTCTAGAAGTCTATTTGTGTGTGTGTGTATATATATATATATATTCAGTATATTATTGGGGGTGATATGTTTGTGCTTCAGGTGTGTAACAGCACGAGTGACCGGAAACACGCAGACATGGTCCTGGAGCGCTACGTGACGGAAACTGTGATGAGCATCATAAACACTTTCTTCAGCTCCCCGTTCTCCGATCAGAGCACCACGCTGCAGGTCCGGTGGAGGTCCTTTCCTTGGGGGGTTCTGTTTAGTAGCCGGTGAAGGAAGTTTTTTGGGTTCTTGCCCCTTTTCGGAAATGTTTTTCCTCTTTGTGTCCTCAGACCCGGCAGCCCGTGTTTGTGCAGCTCTTACAAGCCGTATTTCGGGTCTATCACTGCGGCTGGCTCCTTCCTTCCCAGAAGGCTTCAGTGGAGAGTTGTATTCGGGTTTTGTCTGATGTGGGTAAGTGGATGGTGGCCACTGGGTGTTACCTGTACTCATTACCGATAGGAGGAGGAGTGTGATTGTCTGCCAAATTTACAAGGCCGGACTCGCCTTACTGTACCAAACTGTCCCATGCAGTGCCGATAATGTATACACAGACCATTGTTCTTCCAATGTTCCCTGATAACATGGTTAAAGCTGAACTATGGGATGAGAAAATATTGTCCTCATACAAGAGTCATGTGCAGGGGCCTAACTAGAAATCACAGGGCCCCTTAGCAAAATTTTGTATGGGGCCCCGTGATTTCTAGTTACGCCACTTGCAGAGCCCACTTGATATACCAAACAGCCCACCTGAGAGTGACCCTGCAGAGCTCTCCATAGACTATAGTGGGCTCTGCAGGGTCTCGGATGGGCTGCACACCTCTTACCTGTCAGCGCTGTCAGCCTCCGTGGTCGCCGGGCCCCGCCTCATATTGACGGCCCTGCCTGCTCTTAGGTCGCTGGCCAGTGATGTAAGAGGAGGCGGGGTTGGTCTTGAGCAGGCCCCGCCTCCTTCACTACGAACGCCTGCCTTTTCTGCCGCAGCTGCTGGCTGTCAGACACAGCTCCGCAGCAGCTGTGAGGGGAAACGCGCCGCGGCCACTGCACACATCACTGGCAGGTTGTCGGTGATCTTCACAGCCGCTGCTGAGCTGGGTCAGTGACAGCCAGCACCCTTACATACCAAAGCAACCCAGGCAGCCCACACAGCATCAGAGAGATGCACTGGCCGGGCACCGTAGCAGCCGCCTGGGTCGCCAGTACACCACTGGTCATGTGTATTCTTCCTGAGCTTTGTGTATTTCCTCCAGATCTGTGCAGTAATCCAGAGTGAGACTTGGAGCTTCCTGTAATAAAGACCGCTCACTGCTGCTCTCTCTCCTTGTGCAGGGTGACTGGTCTTGTCTCCGCCCCCTCCTGTAATAAAGACCGCTCACTGCTGCTCTCTCTCCTTGTGCAGGGTGACTGGTCTTGTCTCCGCCCCCTCCTGTAATAAAGACCGCTCACTGCTGCTGCTCTCTCCTTGTGCAGGGTGACTGGTCTTGTCTCCGCCCCCTCCTGTAATAAAGACCACTCACTGCTGTTTTTCTTGTGCAGTGTGACTGGTCTTGTCTCCGCCTCCTATAGTTTCTATTAGTGGGTGGGGCTATGTGCAGCACAGTAATGATGTCACTGATAGGAGGTAATATCTGGGTTTGTGTCTTTTGTGTTGAGTAATCTCTATGACAGTTTTTGCGTCTGAGATTTATCTTTAGGCGAGCATCAATCTGTGTTTTGTAAAGCTGTTGAAATGTTTCTTTTTGGATTCTTCGCAGCGAAGGGCCGTGCCATAGCCATCCCTGTCGATCTCGACAGTCAGGTGAACAATTTGTTTCTCAAAAGCCATAACATTGTACAGAAGACGGCCATGAGCTGGCGCATGACGGCCAGAAATGCTGCCCGCCGCGATTCTGTGCTAACTGCCTCACGGGACTACCGCAATATTATCGAACGGCTGCAGGTAATGGGGGAAAAGGCTCTTCGCATCGCAGAACCTGTTTAATTTACTTCCATTACTGTTGTGCCAACTTATCATTAATGGATCTGTCCTGGAGACGGTCACAGTATGGCTAAAGGTTTGTGGACACCTGACTATCACAACGACACTATATGGTCCGAAAGTATGTGGACCTCCCTCCAAATGAAGTTCAGGTCTTCCCAGTCAAGGTTCTGTTAATACTCCAACATACAAAGACATTGTAGAGAATTGTGCTCATCCAACCATGTGGTAAGTTTGGAGGAGACCCTTTTCTGTTCCACCATGACTGCCCCCTGTGTACAAAGCCAGCTCCATAAAGACATGGGGTGACAAGTTTGGGGAGGAGGAGCTCGAGTGTCCTGCACAGAGCCCTGACCTCAACCCTACTGAGCACCCTTGAACTATGAGCCCGGTCTTCTCATCCAACATCAGGACCGGTCCTCACAAATTCCCACAGACTCCCTCCCTCTAAATTCTTGTGGAAAGCCTCCATATTAAAGGGCATTGGGGATCAGCTCCACATTAATGTGCTTTGGCGGAAGGGGGGGGGGACAATTCCATATTAATGGCCATGGTTCTCGGGCAATTCCATATTGATGGCCATGGTTCTGGAATGCAATGTCCAACAAGCTCATTATAGGGTGTGATGGTCAGGAGTCCACTGACGTTTGGCTATATAAAGTAAAAGTATTTTTTTTTGGCTTACCAGCGTTTCACTAAACCTGGCATGTTGCATTTGGATGGAATGTTGACCCCAAAAATGACACAAGGCTAGTATAGTTTTCCTGTGATTGATCAGGCTATATACTTGCAGCCCACATTTCGAGATTCTGCTTCCTCTGCACAGAGTGTAGACATATACTGAATGGGGTGTCAGGCAAAATGGGTGAAAAAGTCCAAATAGTGTTTCATGATTCATTCAAAGCAAGCCAATGCATTTCAGGGCAACAAAACTCCGTCTTCATCAATAATGTGGAGACTTAAAAGTACTCAAAAGACTGAAAACCAAAGAAATCGCTCATTTAGCTTGGTTTGGGATCACTATTAGGCTGAAGTTGCATAGAGTCATCAGCAACTGTTTCTCTTTTGGACTTTTCACCCATTTGGTCTGCTGTCCATTCTCTGTATGTCTACACTGTAAGCTTCTTCTGGGTATCCACCAAGGGAGACCTTTCCTGCTGTTGTAGCCGCCGTACCAGAACCAGTGATTGTTTGGAGAACTTTGGTGCATTTGAACTTTATGAATGAGCATTGAGATCCCAACACTTCCTAATAACTGGCATCTTATTCTGCACAGGACATTGTGTCATCCCTGGAAGATCGGCTGCGTCCTCTGGTCCAAGCGGAACTTTCAGTCCTCGTGGACGTCTTGCACCGGCCGGAGCTCTTGTTTCCGGAGAACACGGAGGCCCGAAAGAAGTGCGAGAGCGGGCAGTTCATCTGCAAGTGAGTGGCAGCTTTGTTGGCAAGTTGAGGGGGTAATTTTTATTTGGGCCAAGGCAACCAACATTTATCTGGTAAATCCAGACTCCCCCCTCCTTCCCCCTTTGGCTGTAGTGCTATAGATGACTATAGCAATGATCTACTATTGCAAGGAGAGGTTGGATGGGATCACCTTTGCCTAAGCCTCCATTCTAACAGCAAGTGCCAGGACAACATTTCACTTCTAATGTAAACAGTGCGGAAACATTGTTCCACATATTGTGTGTCTGTTGTATCTGCCTGTGTCTGTATCTGCCTGTGTCTGTATCTGCCTGTGTCTGTATCTGCCTGTGTCTGTATCTGCCTGTGTCTGTATCTGCCTGTGTCTGTATCTGCCTGTGTCTGTATCTGCCTGTGTCTGTATCTGCCTGTGTCTGTATCTGCCTGTGTCTGTACATTTCCTCCTATGGAGCGCTCAGCAGCAGGAGCATAAGCCAAGACACTGATTAATTCAGCTCCTAGGCTAGAGCTGGCCATGCGCTTTTTAGTCTGAACATACGATCTCCTTAAGACCTTGCATCAACTTTGTACTGCACGGGCTGGCCTGATTGGATACAAATTAAAACATTGTTTAAGCTGTTTTTTTTTTTTTTTCCCTTTTTGTTACATAGTTTTGGTCAATGTAAACTCGGATTGTATAGTGGCCAGCTTTGTATGGTCCGCTCTGGTGCTGTCACCAGCAGCCGACGGATGCAGCTGTAAAGCCAACCGGGGGCCGCTGTCACTCAAAGTACAGCCCACTGTACTCCGTACGCTGTTAGATATTTGGAGCATGGTGGGCTACACTCTGGATGCTGGTGGGCTGCTTGTTGGGCACCAAGAATATAAAAGGTAACCCAGTAGTGAGCGATCACTTAACTCCATTTCCAAAATCAAAGGAGTAATCGGCTGACACATCACACCAGGAGAAATGTCAGGAATGGGGAGGGCGTGCCATGTCAGTCATCCTTCTAGCCATCGTCTGATTGTCGGGTTGTTTTCATGTCGTGCTTTTTCTCTTTCCAGATTAATAAGACATACAAAGCAGCTTCTGGAGGAGAACGAGGAGAAGCTATGCATTAAAGTCCTGCAGACGCTGAGAGAGATGATGGCGAAAGACCGAGGGTTCGGGGACAAGGTATTGCCCATTTACTGCTCATTAAACCAACGGGCATGTGGTCCTTGTTGATTAAATTGATTAAAGATGATCCCTTCAGTTTTGTCCATTCAGTCCAGTAAGTCAGACAAGAGTCCATCAGTGAGCTACTCTAAAGGTCCCCACACACCTTACGATCGTACGATAATCGCGGGAAATCCCGCCATCGTACGATTATCGTAAGGTGTGTGGAAGCCGTGCGACCTCTACTACTGTAAGGTCGCACGACTTTTAACTTACGGACATGTTCGAAAACCCGCCGAGCATCGTACGATGTTCGGCGGGTTTGTGGCATGTTCGTACGATAAAAGCCGTGTAGCATTGCGGTCATCGTAAGCCCGCCCCTCAGGGGGCGTGGCTTGCGATCATCGCAATTACGATCTGCCTATGCAAGATAGGCAGATCGTATGTTTTTTTTTTAAAGTAACTTACAACCATCGCAAGACAAAAGTATTGCGATGGTTGTAAGGTGTGTGCCCAGCCTAAGATAGGATTGCATACAGTCCTGTTCAATCTGTGTTTTGGCTCTTCCGTTCAGTGCAGCAGAATCCTCCGAGCATTGTACCCTAGAAAGAGAAGCAAGCTATTTTTCCATTTTCCCTAATGTGATGCTGATCTACTCTCAGTAATATAGCAATTGAAGTGTTTCAGTCTTTCACAACCTGTGACAGGGAATTCTACAAAGCAGGCAAAGGTGGCCATTTTTCCCCAGTCATCTTCCAGGACAGCCATTGAGATATAGGCTCTGCCTGCATCTCGATGGCTGTCCTGGAAGATTCCTGGAAACAGAGTTATCAGGTAATCAACTCATGTTTTCTTTTCTGTAGCCTCTAGCAGTCTACAATTCTCAGGCAGCAGCTGACTTTACACTTGTAGATTCCCCCAGCAGCGAAAGTGTCCGTCCGTGCCTGCCTATCACAGGGCTTAATTGGCTGCAATTCCAAAAGCTGCCACTAGATGGTAGTCTGCCATCACAGCGCCAGAGTTCCCATCATGATTTGACTGAAGCCGAAATTGTTATCAATGGTGAGGACACTTTCGGTGATGAAAGATGCAGGGAGATGTTTTAGAAGCAAAAGTTTACATTTGGCAAGTTCCTGAAGGCGACCATGAAAAAAGAGAACCGAAAGTTGACTTTTATGGCATGCCAGATGGAGCTACCAATGGAAGACTCTTCTTTGTGGTTAATGGGACCCCTTGCAACTCCAATGTACAACTGCTTTCTAGAACATGGGATACAATCTCACTCCAGGGCTGCTGTTTTCTGAATTTGATCGCTCCATCACTTCAAAGCGAGAGGGCAGCCGTAGACTGACGGTTGTCTCGCCATGAACAGGGAGCGCTGGGCCATCTTTCCCTCATTGTAATAGGTCAGTATCCACCACAATGCATATTGTGTCTAAGCAAAACAAATGCAGTTGAGAATTTGCTTCCCTAGGGGTGGCTGGGTTGATTTAGTGGCTCTTCTGCTTAGTGGTCTTATCGGGCCAGCAAGTTGGGCAAGGGGGCCAGTTAGGGCATTGATAGCCACCCATAGTTGAAGCATGAAACACATATGCCAATCAGTTTTAGATTGCATAAAGCCCCAAAAGACCAAAAATTAGATCTTGGCATAACAATGAATAGGCAGTCTCTTATGCTCACATAGTAAAGTGGACCTTTCATTAGGTCTAAATAAATTCCATACCAATTCCAAGATAAAGCAACAATATTATTAAAGGAGAACTATAGTAAGGTCACGAGCGCTGGATGCAGTGCAGATACTTAATACAATGCTCTTTCCTCTTTTGCAGCTTGTAGCCATTGACGCTGTGGAAAATTCTGAGGTTTTGACCTGTCTGTCTCTTGTGTGACCCCTGACTCCATTTCCTTCCCCTTTTATCCTCTTCTTTAAAGGCTACAGAATGATGTAGCTTCACCGTGCGTGCGCTGAACAGGCTGTTGTGCCTCTCCTTGTGCCCCCTCGCCCCTTCCATCCAGTGACCTTGTGACTTCTGTGTGTGGTTGTAGTTGGTCACTTGTGTCTGTGTTTTGCAGAGATTCGCACGGCTTCTTGTTTCTGTTGGCTTAAAGCACAAAACCACACACAAAAAAAGCTTTTTTTGGCGAGTTCAGTACTACAGGATGGAGCGGCAAAATGGTCACCTTGGTAAAGCGTATTATCCATTTGCTTTCCTTTTGCTCACAGAGGGGCCAGTGCTTTGTTTAGTGGGCAAAGTTACCTTTGTACTTGTTACTCTGAAACAACCTTTCCCGACCTCTGCACCCTGGAGGAAACTTTGAAATAATTTTAAGATCTCAGGGTACCCCTACAAAATGTTTTCACAGTAAATGAGCATGAGCAGTAAGCTGCTGAAGGTTTTAAGTAAAAGAATAAAGTCCGTGAAGAAATGCTCCCTTGTGTTAGTGGTCAGGGGAGAAGGGGGGTCCCCTTGCTTTAGTGGTCAGGAGAGAAGGGGTCCCCTTGCTTTAGTGGTCAGGAGAGAAGGGGGGGGTTCGGGGGTGGGGGGGGTCCCCTTGCTTTAGTGGTCAGGAGAGAAGGGGGGGTCCCCTTGCTTTAGTGGTTAGCAGTCCCCTGGAAGGTTAAGTGGGGGAAGAGAACTGCAGCCTAGAAGAGGGACTTGGGAGAGAGCAGGTTATTGAATCAGCGGAGTTGTTAGGAGTTGAGCTCTTAATATGGTGACCTGGTGAGAAAGTGAATCTGCACTTGGGAAGGGAAACTGGCCACCACGGGGGAACCCAAACTCTGTTTAGGGATACTAGAGAAGATGGAGCACTCTGTGATTTTATAGTGCATTACATTCATTGAAAAGGGTTCCTCTGGGGATAAAGACCTTCAAACAGCTGCAGCCTTTCTCATACAGGCTATCGGCTTTTTAACCATTCTTATCACGTGTAATGCGTGCGTCAGAAGCCTGCCCAGACATAATAAAACTAGTTGGGTAATACCAGTTACTACTTGATGACTTTATTGCTCTGCTATAAAATAAGAAATTTGTCTGAAAGCTGGAATTGTGACTTAGTGTCCCTGAAAGGATGGGGATGGGAGCGTGTACTGCTGACTCATTTTAGGTTATGTGCTCCGGAGCTCTCATACGGGTTCTGCGATAGCATCTAGTGAGCTTCTGCCCTGGAACAAGCACATAGTCTGAAGTCTGCAAAGTCTAAACTCCAGATGTGTGTGCTTGTACCTGGTCACTAAGCTGGCGTTGGCCTCTTGCTCCAGTCTCCTTCCTACTCTGTCCATCAAGCCAAGATGGGGATGTTGACTCTGGAACATGTACTTTAAAAAAGAGAGCCTGTCAAGATTACTGTAGTGTTTCTTTTTATTTGGCACACCAATCCAGCATTGGCTGAGTCTCGGAAGCATTGCTGGTTCCATTGGAAGGGACCTCTCTGCTCATGATGCTGTAGACATATCAAAGCCTTTCCTTAGGAGTCTGGCAATGGTTAGGTCCCAAAGCGGTTCAGGTTTCAGCTATGCAGGCTCCCTATAAGATTAATGAATTCTTCTTAAGGTCATGAAATGAGACAGCTTGTACTGCTGCCCAGGATAGTCGGTGACGAGTTCAGTCTTTCCTTTCTCTTGGCGTGTCTTGTCTGCCTTGTGTGTGATTCAGTAGACATGACCCTGTGCTGTAAGCAGGTCATACATATCTCCTGCAGTTCTCCATCACCGGTGACTCACAACATTGGCTGAATATTTCACCTCTGATCTCACACGCAGCTTTATTGGATGCAAGGGGGTTCGGGAAACACGTTCAGCTTGCTTGTTTTAAACCATAGCCAGTTGAAAGCCTTCTGTGTTTCAGGAGTTCCTCGTATCTTTCTGGTCCAAAGGGCAGAGAATTTCCTCCTTACTCACAACTGGTGACCTTCCTGGGAACACTCTTCAGATACCATGATGAATATCTCAAGTAACCTACTGTTAAAGATATTATTGGGTTCAATGACCTGCGGGTCTCTGCAAATACTAGGGAGTTTGTCGGGGGAGGGACTCCGTCATTCGCTGTTGTAATGCATGGGGATTTTAGACGGCATTGGCAGTTCAGTTGGGGTTGAGTCAACACTGAGGTCTCTCACTGCTGTAAAACAAATTGTTTTTTATTCCGGCAACAAACAAAAACACTGAAGTATAATAAAAAGAAAAACACTGAAGTATGATGACAAAAGGAATTCTGGCCAAGGGACAATAAAGACCATTATCTTGTTCACGTTGCATGAGACAATGGGAAGCTCAGTCTGTACATATTGGTGAGCAAGATAAAGGCCTTTGTCTTGTTGTGTGCTCGGCAAGTTTCTGTTTAGAAGTATTTACTGCATATAGATCTAAGGGTAAGAAAAGGGTTGCAGAAGAGAAATGGAAGTGTGGAAGGGAAGTATTTTGGAAGATGTCTCCCTTTATACCCTTGGTTCTCAACTGGTGGGTCGTGACCCAAATGTTCACTGGGTCTCCGCATGGCTTCCACTTTTCTAGGTGAGGAGCTCCTCAGCCTCCCCCTAGCACAGCACTGTTCACTCTCACACCGAGCAGCTATTCAAAATATGCTGTCTGGCGCCAAGTGTTGACTTGAGGTGGGCTGGGGGTATGGCAGCGAGGGAGCTCCATCCATCCATCCATACATGCATTGCTTACAGCTTCCTCACATGTCCTGTAGAGGTGCCTGGACCAGAGTGACATCACATTCTGGCTTCCGATACCTCAACAGGCACGCATGGGAGCTGTACAAGCAATGCACATATGGATGGAGCTCCATCACAACACAGCATCCCACACTGTTGTGCGTTCCATTGCAGTGTGACTTAGGTCGCGACTTAATGACCGAGGACAAATGTGGGTCCTGAGGTTGCACAGGTTGAGAACCACTGCTTTAAATCATGGTGAATGAAGGCTAACAGAGCGCCAGGTAATCTTGAAGGAGAACTATGGGGTCAGTGCTTTTCCCCATAGTTTTCCTGAGGGTAACGAGAGGACACAAACTAGCGTCCTCCCGTCACCCAAAGCTCAGTATACTGAGACAGCCGCATCCGGAACGGATCCTGACAATTCTGTCTGGATCCACCCAGCTGCGTGAGTGACAGCTGGCTCTGCCTATCTAGAGGCAGAGCCAGCTGTACCCGCCCCCTCCCCCCCAGTCGGCGCTGGAGGATCGGACAGGGGAGGGGGCTGGGGGGAATCACTGCAGGGAGCCGTGAGTGACGGTCACGGCTCTCTGCACGGATAGATCGAGAAGTGAGCGAGCGCCGGTATGTGTTCGCTCACTTCCCGATCTACTGAGCCGACCTGTGATAGTTTCATTGTCACAGGTCAGCTCAGATTGAGAGGCTGAGTGAAAATCACGCCTCATAATTCTCTAAGAATCCCCCAAAAAAGCCTTATTGGCTTTGCAAATGGCGGCAAGAAGATATACACAGCCAATGCCCCAAGGGTCAGGAATCCCCCTTCATCAGGACTTAATGGACAAGAGAACACTGATGGACTCGAAACATACAGCTCCTGCACACAATCCTATTAGGCAGGAGAGGAAAAACTTTACCAGCAGTTCATTGCATTGACTGCATATGTTCTTGTTGCCATTTGTGGAGCCAACAAAGTTTTTTGGGGGATGATTACCCCGTTCTCAGGCTTTATTCGCATGGATTTCTCAGTCTGGACGTCTCCTCCCTTTTGGAGGGCCTCCTGTTTTGTGAAGAACTGCTAGAATGGAGCCCATCACAAGATGGGGTGTGGCCTAGACCGGATGACCCCATCAGAGGGGGTGACACCAAAATGACTGAAAAGTTGGGCACTCGGTCATGGACTAAATGGGCCCGACGGCTGCATAAGAGAGGAGGGGACCCGACCAGAATACCTTATCCCGCTGGATGAACATTCCCTCTCTTTACCAGCATCCATCACCAAGATGGTCATTTTGGTGATGGACGTCGGCAGTTAAGTGGGCGTGACGCTAAGCAATGGACAAGAGGACACTGATGGACTCGGCATACAGCTCCTGCACACAATCCTATTAGGCAGGAGAGGACAAAGGTGTTCAGGTGCAGGTGACACCCAGCATGGTGACGCCTCTGGCCTTCAGGCACAGATATTGCTCCTATTTGACTACAGGAACTTCGTGGTCTGGCGCCTCATCTCCGCTCAACCCTGGATCCCTTTCTTAAATCGTAGCTCTGCTCCTACGTTGCCATCCTGTTTCTAGCAGTCGCTGCAGCTTTTGAAAGTTCATGCACGAGGGCGTGCAGTCACGGTGGATGACCCTAATCTGAGTGGATTTATAATTGACCTCCTTCCTGCTCACTACTTCCTCTTTACAAACATAGTGAGCGTGCCGGGCTGTTTGTATATACCAGGGTGGTAACCCAGTGGGTGAAAGTTGTGCATTTGTGTAACTTTTGACACATTTTATAGGCTCACTTTTATCCATTGTACTAATAAATATTGGGGTCTTGCTAATCTTCCTGTTCAGACGTCCAGCACTTGGTCCCAGCATGTGAGCAGACCTGGGAACTGAAGGTGTAGAAAATAATTAGGTGACTTAGGCGGCAGTCGAGAATGGGCACTGTTAATTGGTTCTTCATTCTTCTATTTTTATAGCCAGCCTTATTTTTAGTGATAGCTGTGTGTGCTGTTATCTACTGGCGTTCCCTCCCTGTCAGAGCAGAAGTGTCAATACAGTCACACTAAAAGACTGCCTTGTCACCTGCCGGGCTGCTGGATGAGGGTATAAAGCTATATAAACAAAGCATTCAAGTTTTTTCTCCTGTCTGCGCCTTCATTAGGGGAGTTGTATTGAATGCCTGAACACTCCTATCAGCATGGAGCATCAACTTTGCTGATTGGAGAGCTCTAGTTGTGACTCGGCAAGGGTGTGTGTTGGACCGTTTGCAGGGGACCACTGCTTTCCACACAGAGCAAGGCTAATGTGCTGCTGCACTAAGTTGCCAGTCATAGCCAGCTGTAGTTGCATTGCTACAGTCTTTGGGTTTCTTAGTGGTTGTCTGGGGCCTTGGCTTGGTTGCACTCAGAGGTTGCCTAGGCATGTATCTCTACCAGTGGGTAGAAATGTCACAGGTGTAGAGGTGTCTGAGCCAGATGGATGACAAAACCTCAGGCCATAATTCAAGGATTGATCAGATTGTGCAATCTGCGCCTTATACTTGCCTAGTCTTCTGGTTCTGGTGCCGCCATACCTGTAACATGGACCTAGACATGAATCCAGATATACAGGTACAGTGATGAATACCAGGCAGCTAGGTGCCTTTCTACCTCCTATAGGGCCAGGCCCAGGGGAGGTAAAAAAGGCAGCCACCGTTTGGTGCTTCATCAAGAAGTGGTTGCAAAAAGAGTAGGGCCTGCAACCTATCCTGCTGAAGTAGTTCACAACTTATAGGGAGGTTGTTGACCATTTGCCTTGGTTGCCAATGGACCTCATGCCATCACTGACCTCCTATATAGTATGACTTATCACCATGCAGTATAACTTCAGTGTACCTCCCGTTTCAGTCTCATGTAAGGAAGGTATCAGTTTGTGATCTGATAGAAAGCAATATCGATGAAGTCAAATAGTGCAAGGCTAGCACCCAACATTCTCATTCCCGGGGTCACCACACAGGTGGTGTTTCACTCCCGTGTCCCCTGTGTGCGTGATCTGTCTGGGTTCTGCTGTGGACACCACACATCGTAACCTTCCTGTCTGTTTTTAGATGCACGGGGGTGGGATTCAAATGTCAGGACAGGTGGGAATAAATATAGGCTGGAGTTTAGTCCACGCTCAGGGACAAGTATTAAATAGCTGAGGGAAGCTTAGGTTGAGCCTTTACTCGTGACCACATTCTATATAACATCCCTTTAAATGGAGTCCCTGAAAGGATTGTTGGAGGGGGGGTGCGGAGGAGGGGACTGCTGTGAACAAAACTCGGCACACGCCTCCCAATTTTAATGTTTTCCCCGAAACTGCAATCTCTGATAGCTCTGACCAGAGTGGGTGATTTGATGTTGAGAAACCGGATGCGAATGTCTTAATCTGTGTTTGACCTCAGCAGAGTTAAATTTTAGCTCGTGTTCCCCAGAGCAGAGAGAACGTAGTCACTGGGGCGGACGGGGTGTTAGGGGGGTGGAGGAGGGGGGGTGGTTGCTGTATAAACTTGCTTTTTATGTTTGAAAAAATTAAAGTGGCCACCTGCTCCTAAACACATTTTAATCCTTTTTTTTTTCATAAATACATTTATTTTCAAGGGTCAATTTTTATAAAACTGATTTGCTCTATACAATATTTCAGATGCTACTTCCCACTATTCACCAAAAACCTGTCGATGGTATCCGGCGGCTGGCAAGCCCCACCATCTTGCCGGGACTGAGTTGGAGGACACTGCCCCCCCGACTCGTGCCCCGGTGCAGCAGCACCGTCTGCATCGGCGGTAGGTCCGCCCACAGTCACCATCAGGAAACCCACCCTGAGAAATGCCATGCAGCCAGTGCCAGAGTACATGTAGACAGGAAGTGGGTGCAGGAGACGAAAAAACACTGAAATGTAACAAAGGTTAAAACAAAGTATTTTAGGAAAAAGTGAGAATTTGTTGGCGGGAGCGCAGAACTTCCTCAAACTAAATGTCACCTACATCTCATTAATGTGGATTAAACATTGTGTTCATCTGTTGCTATTTTTGGCCGCAGTGTCTCTTTAATTGCCACGCAAACTTTAATTGCCTTCGCCTTAATTGTATTAGATGTTCCTGTGATCGGCATACTTATGTAACAGAGTTGAATTCCCAGTTATGAATAGAATAGTCTGTATAGGAGGTAAATTGTTCTTTATATACTTTTTGTATCTTCTTTTTTTTTCTTCATCCAAGAGGATTGTAAACTTTCTATAACGGATGTGAACAAAGTGGACCTGTCTCAGCTGTGCCGGCACAGGACGCCTCTGCCATGTTGCTCGTTCCAAGTGAACCAACAGGCTGCATGCTGATGGGTTTCAGCAGAACAATTCTGCCAGGTTTCCAAAAAAAAAAATCTATTTTATAAATCGATACATTGTAACAAGTTTCATGAGCAGAGTGCTGAGCGGGCCGGCTTCCTTTCCTTTCTGTGCCAATGAACTCCCTGGCACTCTTCCTGGCAGTGCCCGCTAGGGGGTTGTGCTCGGCCGCCCTACTTGCCTGTTTGGTGAGTTGCCAGCCTCATTACATAACATGCGGTTTCTTTTCCTGGAACCGGAGCTCTGCTGCTGTGACCTTCAGCACTAATTACCAATAAACACTTCGCTGTTTACAGGGAGGCGGGGGGATTCAGGAGGGTGAGAGGATGCCGTTACCAGGCAAGTAGCCCACGTCACTTATACGCTGATCAGGACTGTTCTGTCAGTGGCACAAACATCTCAGGCCAGTGCCAGAGGAACAGATCAGATTTAGGGTTAGGGGGTCTAGGGCAATGAACAGTGTTGCGGCACCACTCATTGCGGCGTGCGTAATTGCATTGGGAGGTGTTTGGAGTGACATTTAAATGAATGGCAATGCACCTAGTGCACAATAACGCACGCTAGGTCTGTTGTGCAATGCAACGTACCTCCTGCACTGTTAACGCACGGTAGCTGCATTGCAGGGTAGGGTGCGTTAATCGCAATGGTGTGAACAAGCCCTTAAAGTGTTTCTGGCCCCAGTTCAAAACTAAACCTAGGGCACCAAATTTGACAAAAAAAACTCCATTGCCTACCTTGTGGCATTATGCCCCAGACCAGGTTCTTTAGCACCCAAGGCAAAATGGCCACAGCACCCCCTTCCCTCCTGGATCTGTAACGTGGCGCCTCAGCAAAGCTTCCCATCCTGCTGAAGCACCCATACCGACGGCCGCCTCCCCTGGCTCTGCGAGGAGCCCAGCTGCCGTCTGTCTCTCCGCTGAGCGAATTGCAGCATCTGCCCGACAGACGGAAGCCTCCCAGATGTGAAATAGACACTTTCCCACCCTCCAGCGTAGGGACTTTCCTGCTGATTCATGGATGCTGCTTGTGTGGGAGATTAACCCTTCACTTGCTGGCTGCCTGTGAATTGTAGCGCATTGTTCCCCTCCTCGTATGTGACCCGCTCACCTTCCGCTAATCTTATCCCTTCCTCCTTTTTTTTTTTATCAGCACAATGGAATCCATGCAGTTGGGTTTTGGGGAAGGTCTCTCTTCTCCTGTCCTCATATAAAACATGGTCACACTGCATTCAGAAAACAAAACAAGAAATCCCTGTAGTCTCGCAGCTGAGCAAATATGAACCATGAAATAAATATTTCCAATGATGCAATGGGGTCTTTCCCTGCTCTGCTCCTGAGTCGCATTCTCTTTCCATCTGACGCTCCCTAAAGGTCCGCAGAGTCATAGAGCGGCAATAAAAAATGTTTAATGTAGTCTTGGAAGACTCAATGGCAGTAGTGAGTTTTTGGAAGCGCGGACAGATGGTGCTGGACCCGTGTGGGTTTTTTTTCTTGGTGCTTCTCATCCAGCAGTAGTTGAGTGATGTGAATTTGGGTGATTTGGCCCGTAGGTAGTCATCTTCTGCAATCCAAAGTATCCTTGTCTTGACAGTGAACGCCGTAGATGTAGGAACTGAAGTATCACACCAATTAAAATAGCCCAGATACAACTGTATTCTGTTAGATACTCTACTTGATTGTCCCCAGAACCTAACGCATTTTGAGGGTCCAAAACACGCCCCCTTAGGGCTTAAAGGATAATTATGAGGTGAGGGTCAGATCTCACGATGACGCAACATTCACCACACGTCGGCCAATGAATCACTCACCGCGTGATGATACACATCATCGTGTATATCTTATAAAGGGGCTAATGTGTCCAGATTGACTGACTTGGTAACATTAGCCCCTCGGAACTACACAAATCTACCATACGCGACACATTTGCTGCACGTTGACCCGCGCACCCACTGAAACATTTCCAGAGTCTTACATTTGCCTTGTGCTGGCAAATGTGGTGGACCCGCATCCAGTTTTTTTTTCTTGGGTTTGCCTGATTTTTTGGGTTTTTTAGTAGACCTCTAAAAGAAATTATTTGGTTTTTTAGTCCTTTTAGTATCGGCTGATAACTTTGCCAATGCCGAGAATGAAATGTACGCTGGAAGTATGTTGAAGCAAATCCAGTTGGCCAATGTTTGAGATGTCACTGTGTAGCAGGAGGTTGTATGGTTACCCTTAACCCCCCCTCCCCAC